ATCTGGAAAGCATCAGATGCTTCAAGTATATTTCAGCCTCAGAGAAACATCAAACTCAGAGCACAGTTTCTGCTTTGGGATTTGTGTTTTTCTAATATGTTTTGAGGGCTTGTTTTAGTCAAATAACATGATGTTGCCCCTAATGTTGTTCTCAGTTCAGAGCCATATTCACAACGTTTGGGTGTCATTTAGGTTAGGATGCTATGTTTTGGATATAAATCACAGTTTTTGCTTCAGAAATTGCTACGTAAAAATTACATTTGATTTTTGCATAATTCTTTTAAAATCACAACCTTCATTGAAATATAAGCACAAACAAAGCTGTTAGATGGCCATTAAACTTTAATTCACCTCAGAAACTGCTGGCCATAGTTAAGGCCACAAATCAGAGGACTTAAAAAGAGTAGCCCTACTCCACCAATTTAGCATTGCACTCCTATAACTCGGCTGGAGATTCAGTTGTTAGGAATACAAAAACTGATTTATTACGTGTACAAAAGCACAACTTTATTAGTAATTTGGGGGAAACTGGATCATATTTTATGGAGAACTTATCGCCTGGTTTTCCCTCTCATTTCCTTTGGCTGCTTTGCCTCTGCTCCACTAACTACTGCTGTAGCTGTTATTAGCGTGCAACTGAACGGGGCTCAGCTGCCTCCCAGTGAACACAGCTTCCAGACAGACGGAGTCTAGTTTGACGACATGAACTTGTTGCTAAAAGAAGCTAACTGTTGCCAACAGTAATGTTAGATGCTTTTAGCTCAGTGGCAGGTGCCAAAAAATCACCTCAGTACTTTATTCCCTGTTGTCAAACTGTCCTCCGTTGGCATAAGGCACTGCATTCAACCCCCGTCTCGCCATACTGTTAACTGGGAGCGCCAGATCCAGCAGAGTCAGCTAATGGGTCAGATACAGCTGCTTGACCGGGGGGACGTAACACACAGCGCTATGGGCTACCACGACAAGTCCCTCCCTAGCGGGTAATAGCACTCTGATTTTTGTTTCATGTGGACTTCAAATTTAGTTTTGGAAACCTTAAGCAGGCATCCATTTCAATTGTTTCACATTAGTAGGCCAGTAAAACATGACAATCATCTCCACAGTGGCTTCTCATTATGTTTTACTTTGAGAACAGCATGCTGCTTCTCTGCTATTCCACAATTGCCCTCTACCAGATTAAATCAGAATGTGTAAAAGCAGGTGCAGTTACAAACAGCCAATGCACTTTTCACATTTCATGACTCAAATTATATTTTACCATTATCATTATCTTGGCAACAGTTAATCTATTAACAAAATTATTTGGGCAGTGGTATATTTATATGAAGAATTAACTGTGTCTGAAGGTGACCTAGGTCTATTGCAGACTCAAAAGTTCAAAAATACCATAAAACATTATATCTACCTTGAATAAATCAGAGACAAGCAGCAGATGCTGGGAGATTAATTCTTACTGCAAACCAACTCTTATTCTGTAGTTCACCCTCTCTCTCTCTTAACAAATAACCCTGATTGTGCATTTTCTCCACCAGTTGTTTATCATGAATTGTAACACTTTTACCAACCCCAAACATAAATCACTTGTCTGTTGTTGAGGCTTGTATTACTTGTTTACTATTACCCCTCCTTCCCTGTTCTTGGCTCTCCTTGTGTGGTGGCAGGGTAGGGGCCCGACTTATCTCTGGTGTATGGGCTGTAGCTAATCTCCGAAACACAGTGGGTTCATTACAGTATGTTCAGATGCTATAACAGTAGATTGTCAGAGCCAGAGGCCTTACACTGGGCAGCCATGGTGCCACTAATGATAGCTTAATAGCTTTTTAATGTTGCAGCTTGCACCTTGTGTGCCGAGTGGCAAATCAGCAAAAGAATGTGTGACAGACTGTGTGTGAGAGTAAGAGCAGGAGTGTTTCTGTGCACATATGCCGATGCCCAAAATTAATTTGTGTATGCATCTTGCAACAGTGTCCTCTCTGTCTTTATCACACACAACCAGGCACCGTGCAGCACAGTCTTCCCTTTGACACACTCATGAACATATCCACTCCACTCCAGCAGCGAGGGGGAACTTTATCTGTATTCCTACCCTGACCCTGAGGACACATGCACACCAAATGTCTGCCATTTCACACAACCCTCCTACACAGAAGACTCACTCTGTTTAATTCTCTTAAAAACACTCCTTTAATCCCCCTGGGGAATGCTGGCTCCTATGTTGTGTACTGATTGACACACACACACAGTCGAATGTTATGTCATCTGAACATGTGAATATAATATAGAAATATTTGCTGTAGCAACATATTTCATTTAATCTCTGTTGCTTTCTGTCTTGTATCCCTGGATACTGGATATGTGTGTGTGTTGGGTGTGTGTTTTCTACTTCAACAAGTATCTAACTTCAACAAGAACTGACTCTGACATTGTAGTCTCTCTAAACTTGAAAGCAGTGGATTGCAGTGCACATATAGCTGTGGGCTTCAGTTATCTATCCACACACTGAGATTTACATCACTTCCATGGCTAAAGTGCAAGATACAGTGCAGAGTAAGATCACAGCACCTTGATTCATCATCTTTAAATACTGTCTGGCTACCCAGACGCAGACACCTGCCTACTCCTGCATACCTGTATCTATGTATTGAAATTATGTTCGAAAATAAGACAGGCAAGGTGAGATTATTCAATAATGCTGCCTCATATAATGAATCCATGAACCACGTTCTTTAGTACAAACGTTATGTCACAACAATAACAATGAATGGAGCTACAACTTCAAATGTATGACTCCTGATGAATGATAAATCACTATCCGAAACTTTGAAACTCTCTACGCTTTAGGTAGCTACTACATAAAATGCAAGCTGACTGACAACATGTACAGTACATTTGTGCCTCAGTTGTGTGGCCCTGAAGGAGCGTTGTGGATTGTCCTGCTGAATATAATTTGTATGTTGTTGCCTTACTACACACATTGACCATTTCATGTTAATTATAATATTTGGTATTATACATTTATAATAATAAATTCAACTGCAATTTCTTGAACAAAACCATTACTAAATGAATTGCTATTTGCTCCTTACACCTAACTGGACCAGAGTTGATAAAAGCAACCAATGCACAGATACTGTCATTCTGTCATTTTAACATAACAGAGCGAGGTTTTACTGGTTTGCTCTACATGAATTAAAAGAACTTCCATTGACTTGCTGACCAGATTCACAAAGTAATCGCATGTTACAGTGTTCGACCAGGCAGCTGCTGCTCTGAATCGGCGAGTGGAAGGACACACCAGGAAATCTCTGTGGAGCTAATAGGCACATAAAAGCATTTATGGTGATGGAATGTGTTGAGGATATTAAATATGCATCTGCTCCTGCTTCATTAAGGTTCTGTGGCACGAACACACACTTG